GCATCCTGTAACCCATTGTACCCTCTTTATGTTCTGAATTAGACCCATCCTCGCGATGGCTGAGATCTTCTTCGGGTTGGCTTCGATGCCATGCTCGAAGATGACGAAACCAAGCAGCATGCCCCTCGGGACCCCGAAAACACACTTCTTGGGATTGAGTTTGATGCCGTTCGCTCGGAGTTTTGCAAATGTCTACTCACGATTGGCTACGAGGTGGTCAGCCCATTTGGATTTGACCACGATGTCATCAACGTAGGCCTCAACGGTCCGGTCGATGAGGTTCCCAAAGCACTTGAGCATACAACGCTGGTATGTAGCCCCAGCGTTCTTCAGACCGAACGGCATTGTGACGTAGCAGAACGATCCGAAGGGGGTGATGAAAGATGTCATGAGCTGGTCGAATTCTTTCATCGCAATTTGATGGTACCTAGAGTACGCATCAAGGAAGCAGAGGGTTTCACACCCCGAGGTAGAGTCAACTATCTGGTCTATGCGCGGCAAAGGAAACGAATCCTTTGGGCATGCTTTGTTGAGATCCATATAGTCAACACACATCCTCCATTTCCCACTCTTCTTTCGTACAAGAATGGGATTGGCTAACCACTCTGGGTGGTACACTTCCTTGATGAATCCGACAGCCAAAAGCTTTGCGATCTCCTCGCCGATGGTCTTACGTTTCCCCTCATTGAAGTGACGATGGCGTTGTTTCATTGGCTTGGAGCCTAGGAAGATCTTCAAGGTATGCTCAGCGACATCCCTCGGAATGACTAGCATATCCAAGGGTTTCCACGCAAAGATGTCTTTGTTGCCACGGATGAAGTGGACGAGCGCGCTTTCCTATTCGGAGGAAAGCGTGGTACCAATGCGCAGCCGTTTTGCCCTCGGAGCTGTCAGGATCTATGAGGACCTCTTTGGAGCCCTCCACCGGTTCGAAAGACCCGGTCGACTTCTTGGTGTCGGGCGCTTCTTCGGTGACCTCCTTCTTGATGGCAGCGAGCTCTCCGGAGGAGATGATTGCTGCGGCATGACCACAACACTCGACCTTGCTCTCATAGGCGTGCTGGAAGGAGGTGCCGACGGTGATGACCTCGTCGGGGCCTAGTATTTTTAGCTTGAGGTATGTATAGTTGGGGACGGCCATGAACTTCGCGTAGCATGGACGTCCCAGGATGGCATGGTAGGTTCTGTGGAACCCAACCACTTCAAAGGTGAGGGTCTCCGTCCTATAGTTGGACGGACCCCCGAAGGTGACGGGTAGATCGAGCTACCCAAGTGGCAAGGCCTGCTTTCCAGGCACAACATCGTGGAAAGGTGCCCCGGTCGGCCGGACGCGCGCTCGGTCGATGCCCATGGCGTCGAGCGTCTCGGTGTATAGGATGTTGAGGCCGCTACCCCCACCCATCAGTACCTTGGTGAGGTGCTTCATACCGACGATCGGGTCAACCACGAGCAGATATCTCCCCGGTTGTGGGATGCTCTCCGGATGGTCGGTCCGGTTGAAGGTTATGGCGGATTCTGACCACCGGAGGAAGGCGGGTGTGGCTGGTTTGGTCGCAAAGACCTCGCGGCGTGTAATCTTCTGGCGGCGCTTGGAGTCGTAGGCCTCCGGTCCTTCGAAGATCATGAGGCAGCCATCCGGTGTTGGAAAGCCGGCGTCCTTCTCCTCGGCGTCGTCCATGGTGGGGTCAGGGTCCTTTCCGTGCTCCCCTTTGTTGGAGCCTCCGGACAAGAACCATCACATGAGGCTGCAGTCCTTATATAGATGCTTGACTGGGAAAGCATGGTTTGGGCATGGCCCCTCGAGTAGTTTTTTGAAATGGTTCGGAGTGCCCTCCACGGGCTTCCGACCACCTCTCCGGTCAGCGGCGGCCAGGAGCGAGCCCTCACGCTATTGCTTCTTGTTCTTTTTTTGGCGGGATGATTGGAGGTACCTTCGTCAACGTCTTCGTCTCGCCTCACCTTGTCATCGAGGCGATCAAAGATGGCTCTGACCGCTTCCTCGCCCGAGGCGTGGCTGGTGGCGATGTCCAGGAGTTCCTTGGTGGTTCACGGCCCTTACGTCCTAGCTTGTGAACTAGAGACTCGCAGGTGGTCCCGGATAGAAAAGCTCCTATAACGTTGGCGTCAGTGATGTTAGGGAGCTCGTTGCATTGCCAGGAAAAGCACCGGATGTACCCATAGAGGGTTTCTCCGGCCTTCTGCCGATAGTTCTTGAGGTCCCACGGGTTTCTAGGGCACTTGTGTGGGCCCTAGAAGTTTCCCACGAAGATCTCCTTCAGGTCCGCCCAACTTCGAATTCTATTGGGCGAAATGTGTTTCAACCAGGTTCTTGCCGAATCAGCCAAGAATAATGGAAGGTTGCGGATAATGAAGTCATCATTATCCGCACCACCGGCTTGGCAGGCAAGCCGATAGTCTTCGAGCCATAGTCTGGGGTTTGTTTCCTCAGAGTACTTCAGGATATTGGTTGGTGGTCGGTACCCTGGCGGAAAGGCAGCGTTGAGGATGTGTCGGCCAAAGGCCTAAGGCCTCGACAGGCCGAGGCTTAGGCTTTGGTCATTGCTGCTGTCGTAGCGTCTGCCATGATGAGGGTGATAGCCGCATCTGGCCCCCTCTCTCAGGTCATTGTAGGCGCGTCTGTGGGCGTCGAGGGTGTTGCACGCGTCACGGTTGCGGCCGAGACGCTGACGCACTGGGACCGCGGTGTGCTGCCTACTTCCTTATGGTTCCTAGTGGACCGACGCGTCCCTGACGGGATGCTCCGAGGGTGTGCGCTGGATAGCGTCGAGCTCGCGTCGCTGAGACAATGAGCTTTCGGCCTGCTGCGCCGCCGTACGCTTGAGCAGTGTACGAATCTCGTGGTGGGCCCGACGATCCTCGGGCGTCGTGGCTTCTGGAAGGCCATGGAGCAAGGCCACCACGCACAGCGATGTTCTGGCTTACCTGAGTGAAGTGAGGGAGGGCTTCATCGTCAGCGATGATCCTCCGGTTCACATCGCGGGCCATGGCGCGGGCGCGCCCACCGTCTCCATGGCGCTCGATCTCCCGATCGAGCTCTGCGCATTCCTGCTCGAGCTGGAGTCGCGCTTCCTCGATCTCTCGGTGTCGGGCTTTTAGCTGCTCCACCGGCATTCGTGGCGGGACCGCTGTCTCCCTCTCGGCCTCATCGTTGAGGCTGTTTGTTGGGGTAGCCTCCCCCTCGTGGATGCTTTCGACGTGCCCCTCAGGGGTACCCGTCATGAAGCATTCACGAGGGGGGTGGTGGCTTCCCCTGCTGGAATCAGAGCCAAAGGGCGACTCTAGCTCTTCTGCCAGGAGGTCATGGAAAGATTCTGTAACATGTTTGATCATCTCCACAAACTCGTCGTTCGTGGGTGGTGAAACCATGCGTCGTGCCACAAGGTGGTGAATGGTCGCCGCGGCGTTGCGGAGGCCGAACGAAAACACTGTCGGGGCGCTCCGCGTGGGGTGTTCCGGAGAGAGGGGTTCACCTCCAGCGAGCCATGCCATGCCGGTGGCGTCGGAGAAGATGAGGCGGCGCGGGTCCTCCCTAGACGCCTGGGGTCCTAGAAAACGCCGAGCCGGCGCTCAATCCTCCCGTAGTTGCGGCCGATGGAGGGGATAGGTTGGATGGCGGCGTGAGCCAATGCCAACTCTCCTCCCACTGTAACGATGAAGTCCAGGTCACCGAAGCGCACGTGTGTGCTCGAGACCCAGCTGATTCCGTGGCTAGCCATCCGTGGCCTGATGTTAATGTCGAAACGCGCAAAGGTCCCCTACCTGGCACGCTAACTGTCTGTGTTTCGAGTAAACACCAACGAGTAAATTTGTATTATTGCGCGTCTGGGCCGGATGGTGTGCTAAAAAGACATAAGGTTTATACTAGTTCGGGCAGAATATCCCTACGTCCAGTTCATGGCTAATGCTCGTGTTATTAGCACCAAAAAATTCGTAGTAGGGGTTACAAACGGGCGAGAGAGAAAGATCCCAAGTCTCTGATGGAAATATCGAATGGGGTGCTGAGAGCTTGGTTGCTGCTCAGCTCTGTGTGATTGTGTGATGTGAAGCCAGGATTACACACAGGAGAAAGAAGAACAGCGTGGATGAGTGATCTCTGGACGCTTCTGTTCGATCGACACTATCCGCTGGCTGAAGACCATCTTGGCGTGCAATAGCTGAGAATTTGCATTGCCCAGAGCTGAAATGTTTTGTCCCAGCTCTACGCCTCTCTACCACAGCCAGTCAGCCACAGCGCGCAATAGCTACGCGGCCGGTCGTAGAGCCCAGAGCTCGAGCTGCGGACGGATCGGAAGGTCCGGCGCAGCCGCGAAGGCACCTTGTCGTCACGGGTGGGCGGGCGCGCGCACGGCGCACGTGCTTGTCCGCTCCTCTCCCCGTCCGCGACGACAGCTGCAGTCTGCTGGTCCTCCCCTGCGCCAACTAATTAATAAGTACTCCGTATACCACAAACCACTTAACCACATCGCCCGTCGCCGTCGCCGTCGCCGTCGCGCTACAGTCGATCGGCCCGCCCGCGCCCACGGAGACGGAGACGGAACTAGGCGAAGCGAAGCGCCGGAAAAACGCGCGCCACCCGTGCCCCCGGGCGCTGCGCATCGTACACACACGAGCGCGCGAACTGGTGCTGGCTGGCCAGGGTTGCGTACGTGTGGTCCTCTTTTCTTATCTCTTCCGGCGGGCTCCCGAGTCCCGACTTTCCTACTCACCATACAAAACCAACCATCATGTACAGCAACAGCGAGCCATGTCTTTTGGAGATCACACACTGACGACACTGCCGCTGGTACGGTAGAATATGGTGAACTTGCTAGTAGCTTTTGCTTGCCGGCCCGAGCACTTCATTGGCTACCTAGCATAGCAAGCATATATAGCTAGCGAGCTGCTACACATTGTGTGGCCGCGCGCGCGCGCGCTCTTGTCCAATCTCGGTGCCGGTAGAGAGCCCTAGCTAGCAGCTAGCGCTGCTGCTGCTGGCCACCATGTCGTCGAAGCAGGAGAAAGAGGAAGAGGTGGAGCTGCCGTGCATGAATGGCGACGTGGGGAGGGACGACGACAACGGCGGAGTCGAAGAAGGAGGAGGAGGAGGAGGAGGAGAAGGCGAGGGCGAGTTCGCGGCGGCGATGGCGCAGCTGGCGCCGGAGGGCGTGCGGGCGCTGCACGCGCGGGTGGAGGCGGAGTGGGGGCCCGTGCTACAGAGCGCGTGCCAGACGGCGGCGGCGCGGGCGCTGTGGGGCCGCGCCGTGCGCGACCCGGCTGCCGGGGTGCTGGCCGGGGAGCGCTACCTCAGGGGCCTGCACGACAAGATGCGGCGCGACGAGCGCGCCGGCGCCAGGGAGGTGCACGGCGTCATGATCGCCGTCAGGACGCTCTGGTTCGACGCCCGCATCGAGGCCGCCGTCGCCGCGCTCGGCGGCGACCCGCAGGTCGTGATCCTCGGCGCAGGTTAGTATACGCACAACACTACCCTCTGCCCTGCGCCCCTGCATGATGCCGTGGTGCTCGTCAAAATTATTGGCTATTGCATTTGCATGCTGCGCAGCGCCGTTCTTTGCATGCATGCCGTGCATGATCAACGCATCAAAGCATGTACAAACACCCGCGCGTGATACTCGACGCATTCTTCTTTTTTTTGTGAGCTTACGCAATAGATCGATACACATGGATGATGAATGAATGAAGAGCACTGAAATATCAAAATGACAACACGATCCATTAATTGTTTCACGAATCACGAGTGTGTGGATTTTGTTTTGACAGCCTGACTAAAATCACATCAGGGAGTTTTTCTTCGAAACATACCCCTTGTTTAGTTCGCGAAACTTTTCCCAAAAAGTGCTACAGTACCTATCACATCGAATCTTACGATACATGCCTGGAGCATTAAATGTAGACGAAAAAAACTAATTGTACAGTTTAGTTGGAAATTGCGAGATGAACGTTTTGAGCCTAATTAGTTCATGATTGAACACTAATTACCAAATAAAAACGAAAGTACTACCGTAGCCAAATTTCCAACTTTCACCCGACTAAACACGGGCATACTATAGATGTAAACGCTCACAAAAACAGTCATCCTAAGAGTACACAGCCATTGACATTGATGACGTCACCGCAGCCACCTCAGTATTGAGGATCACATATTACCTCACACTGAACACGCCTACACCTAGTTAGCCACAAAAAATATATCCGCAAGCAGGAGACTAATTCATGGCAGCATATTCTCCGTTTGTAAATAACTTGGCTGGTCATCATCCACGCTGTCCATTTTATCTGTGGCGCCAAACTTAAGCGCCCATTGTTGGACACGAAAAAAAGGATTATGTATACAGACGAGGCGATCGTCTCGTGTAGTCGTGTGTGAGATGGAAAAGGAAACAAAAGGAAGCAATTGTGGATCGGAATGAAGACACCTGGCCACATTACAGCAAGAAGAAAGCTATCCTGGCGCTGCCCATTTTGATGGAAGCATGTCCAGTAATGGGACAGCTGCACATCAACATTCTTTCAAAAAAAAAAAAAAGAGCACATCAACAAACGCACTGATATTTATGTCCTTGATGATACTGGTGTCTTCTGTTAGATCCCTTCAGCCGGCCTAATCAGTTGGCAGTTAGCAAGATGCGGACCAGGAAACTTTTGGCCTGTATCCTACAAGAAAAACTTTTGGCTTGCAGCTAAGGGTGCCAACACTATACATAACAGTAACAGACTAATTTCACCTTCATATGGCGTAATGGTAACCCAAAAGCAAACTTTGGATACATGAACAATTGAGAGCATGGCAAAACGTTGGATTTGATAATGCTGGTGAGAGAGTGTCAGATCCTATAACCTGTGGTGTCTCCTCTGCAATTGAATGAAACAGGTAGAACAAGGCATGCACTCACTTTGCATAACAAAATAACTGAGATGCAGAAATATATTCTGGTTCTTTGAAAACAAAGAAATCCTTTCTTGGATTCTCAATTGGATATAATGCCCTCAGTCCCTCACCTAAACCTCAAGTTCAACAATTCTGGTAAATCATACATTACAACTTCTAATCTAATGTTTTGAAACAAATGTGCAAAGCTGGAGCAAGAATGCCACATTTTGTGGTACATGAAGCAAGCTTAGTTAAAATCTGTTTTACAAAAAGGCATCTTCATTTGCAGATAAGTTACCTAGAATAAGGCTCCTTCTGACAACCAAACAATGCTCTCTCTCTCTCTCTGTCTCTCTCTTTCAGGGATGGATGCAAGAGCCTATCGTCTGAGCTGCCTAAAGGAATGCACGGTATTTGAACTTGATTTCCCGGAGCTCCTAGAAATGAAATCTGATCTTCTGCACGAAGCAATGAGTTCTGCAAATCACCAGAAACTCACCGTGATGGCAAAATCATTGATTAGGGTTCCTGCCAACATACAAGATGGAGACTGGATAACAAAGCTGCAGAGCTGTGGGTATGTTCCTGAAAGGAACACCATATGGGTGCTTGAAGGCATCATCTTTTACCTTCACCATGCAGATGCAATGCAAGTCCTCGAAAACATTGCAGCTAGCCGCTCCTCAGCCAGCACAGTGCTCCTGGCTGATTTCATGAACAAGAACGCGACATTGCTCTCTCCAACGATGTACCATTTCTACCATGACAGCCCTGACCTCCTGCTGCCTTCTATTGGGTTCTCCCAGGTAACACTGTCACAAATTGGAGATCCGGAAGCACATTTTGGGTTGCTAAGTCACCCAGAGAACCTATTTGATAAACTGAGGAGACTGCCTAGATCAATGGAAAAAAATCCGGAGGACGGGACGCCATGCTGCAGACTGTATTTTGTGGAAGCCTCTGCCTCACCAGATGACCAGATCATGTGTCCACTGGATCATTACTTGGAAAGTTGAATTACCTCTTTCTTTTCATCTGATGGCGTGCATAATTCATTAGCATTCAAACCCTGATATGATTTTTGTACAATATTTTTTATCTGAGATAATACATCAAATCTTGTCATGAAAAATATATTATTAAGGTTTTGCCTACCCTACACACATTTATTTCAACTTCAAGAAATTACATTTTATCCCAAACCATCAATGCATACTTATTGACATATAACTAAATTATGGCACATAAAGATCAAAAGGAAAGAAAATACTCATTAAATTTTAGTCCCGTGTAATTTAATGGATAGCAGGATTTAAAGAAACTAGAAGCCTAAGGTATACATAGATAAATAGTACAGATTTTATAATGTTCATAAACAAGATGATAAGCTGTGGAGAACAACAGAGAGAACCCTGAAAATAGTAGCTGAAAACAAAATTTGGTATAGGGCCTGCTTGGACAGCTACCACGCTTTGAACAAATATCCTTATAAGTTATGGTAATTTAATTCTAGTTTGTCTTTACAGGCAGGCATTCTTGTACCATAAATATCATATATCAGATCAAATGGACAAAGTATTTGTTCAACAGAAGTCCCTAATGAGCAAACACAAATGAAACTTTACCTCAAAGATAGAAGGAAAATAAAAACAATAGGTCATTTTAAAGATCCTTGAAAAAATGTGATCCGACCTGGCAAAAAAAGGTCTAAACACCTAAACAGTCTTTAACACTCTGTTCAAATTTGTCGAGGGCAGAGATAGAGCTCAGCAAGCCTTCCTTCATCTTCTCTCTGCAGGACACTGAAATTGGTCAATGCCAGCATTTACTAAATTCATATACTTTGAAACAATATCATAGAAAATCAAGGCTTATTTATTTGAACATGTACAGAGTATTCAAAATAAAATTTGTACAAATCCATTCATTTCACGTTAGAAGACAATCCAGACTGGGAGCTCCGACAATATTGCAGCAGTTTGTTCCCGGTAACTCCTATGGTGAGATGATGATATAAGATATACAACTCCTTTATTTACAAAATCAACAACAGAGGAAGAAATGGCTGTCCATATATAATTTTTTTAATATCCTAACAGAAGATACAAAAACATGAGAAAGTTGCCACAGGAAACATCAAGTTGCTACTAGTAAGAGGCCAGAATATTAATAGGTCACACATGTTTCAGATCCAGGGTTTAACGAAAGAAAAAATATGTGCGATGGCATTACTCACCTATCATCTGCGAGCTCAAAATTACTGCTGTCCGCCAGGGTTCCCAAGTCAGAGAATGACCTGTACAAGACAAGGTCAATGAGCCAAAGTTTACTCAATACAATAAACAGCAATTCTGTGAGTCTCACGTGATGCTAGCTAGCTCTAGACATACTGTATGAGCTCCCCAAGCCTAGTATCAGCTTCAACCTTGAGGGGATCCTTATTGGCGAGCAGCGATGCGGCGTTCTTCAGTATCAAGCTGAATGTGCACACCTACAGGGTAATTCCATCAAACACCTGGAGCATCAAAAACAAACTAGCCATGCAAGTGAAAGTGAAAAGCATCTTTCAAAAAAAAAAAAGTGAAAGTGAAAAGCCCCAACCTCAACGCCAGTCCGCGACTGGAACGCGACAATCGAGTTCCTCTGCCGCGGCACGCAGTCCCTCCCTGCCGCACCGATCCGTCCCCTCACCTCCTCGGCGTCCTCAGCAGACGCACTCGGCGAAGCTACATTGCATCGCACAGGCACGGTTGCTAAGAATTTCCTGGACGTCCGACCAGATTAGGCAAGTTTGAACGCTGCCAAGGACACGCAATTACCGAGAAGTGCGTGGGCTTTGACGAGGGTGTCCCGGGAGGCGGCGATGGGCGCGAGGAGGTAGGACGCCGACTTCTTCTTCTGCTCCCGCAGCAGCTCCTTGGGCCCAGCTGCGCGCGCCAACACGAAGAGGAACAGGAGAGAAGACAAGTGAGAGGCCCGGTCAGTCACTGCGGAGCCGAGAAAGCTGGTAGGCGAAGCGTGGGATGCGGTCGTACGGATGCCGAGGGAGAAGGCGGCGGCGGCGGGGCGTGCCGGCGCCGCCGCGGCCAGGACGAGTGCGACGAGCGCGGCGCGGCGGGAGGCGATGCTCGGAGGCGCCGGTGGCGTCGGCTGCGGCTGTGAGGGTCTCCGGAGGGGAGACGCTGCTGCCGTCGTGCTGCGCCGGAGAGGCGGCCTCGCCGGCGGCGCGGCGGGCGACTGGATGGAGCTCATGGATAGGCGTGCGTGGCAGCGTGGGGGGACAGCGGGTGGGATTGCGCTTCCTCTGCGCGTGGGCCTCCAAACTTTACGGGGCGTCCAGTCCAGCTGTCCAAATCCACGCGAACCATCCCGTTTTACCGAGAAGGTTACGTATTTTAAGTGGTACGTCTTCCGGTAGCGTGAACAGGTCACATGACGATTCCGCCTTCACGACGCCGCCGCCGGCCACACCGACGGCGACACCGAATCGGAGCACGCCGCGGAATCCATGCAAGATGCAAGCCGGGGACACTCGCCGCTACGGCGCTCCACTAGTCCAGTTGGTAGAAGCATGCAAAGGAAGAATGATAGGTACTACGTGGCTACGTGCACCTTGTGCCTTGTGCATACGAATCCACGACACCACCAAGCAGCAACAACCAGCCCAGACGATGCGTGGATCGCACCGCTCACCGCATTGCCACCGCGCGACATGGTGTAGTGTTCTTTTTAGATTCCTTTAGCTACAGTTGCACTGCAGCGGCATTTTTAATATCGCACGCATAACACAGCGCCAGCTTGCTCGTTAGGCTTGAGAAAAGCTATAGAATCGCATTCACTCCCTTTTTGCACTGATATGACGGTGATGCTGGAAGTGGAAGACATTTTCCAAATGGCAGCATCGATCTTTCAATTCGAACTAACTGGTAGAGATAAGCGTGTGCCACGAAGCCTAATACTGGATTCCCTCTCCCCGTATTCTGGTATTATCTCCATGAATCAGATTCGAGCTAACTTCCAATAATCAGATTACTAACTAATATAGATTAGTATAATCATGCTGTGTCATGATCGATCCCGGCATACATAAACAAAAGCGCGACACAGATAGATCTGATCTCTGGAGCACTAGCATTAGCATGTAGCTAGGCTTGCTTGGCCTCCGATCCCCAGCATGTTAATTTTTGCCTCTTGTTGCTAATGTCACTCGATCTAGCAAGCAATACAAGTAAAATCAGGCTTGCATCAAACTCAAAAAAAAAAAAATCAGGCTTGCATACCGTGTGCCGAGGAACAAGAACGAACGTGAAGCGTTGACAAAACTACAAAAGGCCATGCGAAAATATACGTGTAAGCAAGCAAAGCTTATCATCATCATCGTATAGGAAAGCGACCGGTTTACACATCATTTGCTGCAGTTTGGCGTAACGAAACTGACCGCTGCGTTGTACCACTTGCCACTCTTGGGTCTTGGCTAGCTGTTCGGATCGGAATGGGAATGTGTGATCTGGGATCTGTCCGTCGTCCGTCGGTCGTGCTACTTGCCTACTGCGGCTGTGGACTGCACGCGTGTTGATGGGCCCAAAAGGAGGAAGACAGAGAGAGCAGGAGAGAAAAGGCGATGTTAGTTGGCTATATGATATTTTAATTAACTAGTTCTTCGTCATCCAGCAGCCTGGTTTCGGCTGGATTGGCTTATAAGCCATGGCTGAAAGCACTGTTGGCTGGTTTGGTGTGAGAGAAAAATATTATTCGTTGGCTGATAAGCTAAGGCTTATAAGCTGAATACGAGCTGCCGAACAGGCTGCTAATCGATCGAATCGGTTGCCAACGTGGAATCCTGCGGGGCCCAGGATTGCAATAGGAGGAACAGATCCACGGCTAAGATGCGTGCCGTGTTATCGCCCGTTATCCGCCGAGAGAACTACTAATTTTTGCTACTCGAACATCTAAAGGTACACAACATTTTGAAGTATAGGCAACCTAACTTTCTTTTCTACTACCACGTGCTATAGCAAACACTGTTTTCAAATAAATTACAATAGTAACCAGATGTTCTTTCGACAATGGGAAGGATTTTATTCGTTATAAGCAAAGTATAGAGATTGGACGGAATATCTCCCAATTAAAAATTTACGAGACAAATTTGACATTACATTTGTGGGTGGGGTGCTAAAGACTCACAAGAGTAAACTACCTGCATCTAGTAATTGCCTCAATTTCAGCAGTGGCCGACCTAAGAGACCACGATATGATCCAGCTTCAACCGGTGAGGCAAAGACCTGACAATTTGTAAGTATATTTGTCATCTGAAAGTTCAAAGCGTTGCTCAAGCATCAGTAATTTTTTGTGCCCAACAATAGGGTCTGGGCTTAGGGGCAAAGCCAAGGAGAGGGCTGGCAGGGGCCATAGCCCCCCAACAGCACAACAAATTCTTACCATATATATTTGTTGGCTATATGATATTTTAATTAACTAGTTAATGATGTTAGTTGTACTATGATTTGTTGTCCTCTTCCATATTAATCTCTTATAGTAGTCTTTCTATTTTTTTTGTCTATCTCTTTTGTTCCCACAATAACCCTCTAATTAGATAGTTAAATATAATTAGTGCTTTCTTGTTTACTCTCCTTCTAAATTGATCTCCATTAACACCTATATTATTTGGGATTGGTCTTTCTGTTATTATCGTGATTCTTTTTTCTAGCCCAAGAATTAGATTAATCGTCATATGAGCGTTATAGACCTTGGACTAATTAATTTTGTTCGCTTTTTCTCTAAAATATTTTGTGTTCTTTTTCTAGTTTCTAGTTTTCTTTTGTATTATAATAAGTTTATAACACAAAATATTTATTTGGTTTTTATGTATACTTTGGCTGTATATGTATTTCGTCATGTGTGATTGTTATCGGTTTGAACGACCCTCTATGTTTAAATCCTGGCTCCGCCACTGTCTGGGCTTCAGCTTGCAAGAGATCCATACGTTATCTTTCATCTTGTCATCGCGGGTTAATTAAACGAATGCCTTTTTATTGATTATGCACTCTTGTCGCCTTTTTTATATTTATTGTCAACTAATTGGTTTTGGCAGTAGACAAAAGCGCGCTAAAAACTGAAGACAACCACGACAATGCCATTGAATACGCATTCATAAATGTGGCATATTCAAGTTGCATTCTAGGCCAAAGCAGAATCCCCACCTTAATTATTTCATGGCGTATTCTTCTGTCTGCCCATTAGTTTATACCGATCTTTTCGCTATTAATACCGTTAACGGTTATCCGTAGTTTGTCATCTTTCACGTGTCGAAGACTCGGAGGTCAGACAACAACATCATTTAGCTGATAAAGTAGCTCGTAAGGATTATGAAAGACACTTTTGTCTTCCTCCAAATTTACCATGTATCGGGTTCATAAACCCGGGGTCCCTCGTGGACCGACTTCCCCGCAAAGGCTCGGCCCAAGCAGACAGCGAGCAACTCATGGGCTGGCCCAAGTATCTGAACACAACAGGCTAGAAGGACGATCCTATCACCGACCGGAAGGTTTGGCCGAGGAGGAGCAGCACCCGTTTTCCGACTCCGGCCCACCTCTCCGACCGGAGCGCTCGCTCCGACTCCAGCCGCCTCCGGACAGCTTCTCCGACCGGGGTACGCAGAAGCCCTACTCACCGCTTGTCGGGGACCTAATACCAGGGTACCCCAGAAGGTAGAACCAATAACCATCGAACGTTAAAAACTTCTGGACGGACAAGGGCGCCGCTGCGTTCCTTGCCCGAATGACGAAAGTTAGGTTCCGTCTCGCCCGACGCCTTTGGACCAACCCCGCCTCACCCGAGGGCAAAGGGCTGGCCTCCGTCTCACCCGACGCCTTTAGGCCAGCCCTACCTCGCCCGAGGGCAAAGGGCTGGCCTCCGTCTCGCCCGACGCCTTTGGGCCAGCCCCGCCTCACCCGAGGGCTGAAGGCTAGTCTCCGCCTCGCCCAAGGGCTGAGGGATACACTCCGCCTCGCTCGACCCCCGAGGGGTGGGTTCGGTCGCGCCCAAGGGATAAGGACTGGGCTCCGCCTCGCCCGACGACCGAGGACGAACCTCGCCCCGTTCGATGTCCAAAGGCTAGTTTTATCTTACCTGATAACTTCTCTCCCGTTCTCTCATGATGATGGGTACAGTGTAAGACAAGACGTTCGGGTCAACCATGGCTTCAAGGACCATACCCTGCGCCCCGGTAGGAAAGGTACTGCCAAGGAACGACTGGACAGGTGCTTTAGACCCTCTCGGACACTGCAGAGCCCAAAAGGTATTGCAGGCACGTACTCCTCGCCTTGTAGAGTTGTAGGCGCCGCCTTCAGCTCTGGGACACGGGACCCGATGAAAATACACGACAACCACTACACTCCAGAAAAGGATTTGTAATCTCCACGAATGACGGACATGCCGTCACCACATTATGGACCCAAGGGAGCGACGCCCGCTTCCCGACCCCTCGGGTCCACCAAATCGCAGGACCTTGCCCACAGCGCCACTCCGGACCTCGACTCCGCGTCCCTCCGACAGAGACTCATAGAGCCAGAAGGCGTGCGGAGCAAGGCTGGGCGAGGTTCATAAGTCAAAACCACTGTACTCCAGCCCATACCCTGCGCAGGGCACTATTCTGTAACCCTCCTGACATCCTACAGAAGCATCGACAGTATTGTAGGCGCTTATCTTCCTTTCGCACCCATCAGAATGGGTAAGGAGGCTAGGTAGAGCACGGATCCTAAGCCTTGACCCTTGTAAAGCCGTCCCCTTCATCTATAAAAGGGGATGCGCTTCCTCCAGCTAAGGGGGGGGGAGGAAAAAAGAACGCAACAGACACACATAGTCAAGCTGCTACCAAGCTCTTGGCTTCCTTTCGACCCTTCCATCAGAGACTTGGGACATGTCCCTCTCTCGATCGTTTGTATCCCCTACTACGAACCATTCACGATGCTAATAACACGAGCAGCAACAAACTAGACGTAGGGATATTCAGCCCGAACCAGTATAAATCTTGTGTCCTTTAGCGCACCATCCGAGCTTAACGCGCATTACTATAAATTTACTTGCCGGTGCTTATACGAAACACCGACAGTTGGCGTGCCAGGTAGGGGGCTTGCGCGTTCCAAACCAGGCCTCGGATGGCCACCCACGCAATCAGCTGGGCCCCAGGCGCACATGTGCGTTTCGGCGATCTAGATTTCATCGTCACACTAAGAGGAGAACTAGCGCTGACC